AGAAATCTGCCATGATGATTTTCACCAAAACTATCCTAGTTTCTTTGCATATACGGTACATGACGTAAAAGCTTCAGWGGTCTATTGCCTGTCAGTTTTTAAAATAACTTAGGGACACTGTCAATGACATGCATGCGCGAGTAAACTTGAAAACATTAGGCTAGTGTTTTCAAGTTTATGACTCCAAGTTGACRCGACATAAATCAGCTCGTAAACGTAAACAGATCTAGAATATTCCAAAGTGTGTCAAAAGCACCACAAAATGATTTACCTCGAAGGTAATACTTTCAAAGTCTGTTAGAGGTGAGACTGTTACTGCACATGTCATCCATTGACAGTGTCCCTTTAAATAGCTAACTTCTAAATTTTGCCAAGACAARATATTAAGCTTAATAATGCTCAGACATTTGTAAGATGCAATGCTTTTCCCACAAGCTGCGAAGTGCACATGAGTTCCTAGTCATGATCATGAGTCCCTTTTTGGTTATAGTTAATAATAGTTGGAAGAAATAATTTACTCAGGTACTGGTTTTAGGACCTAAAGGGGCATGTTAGATATTATTTTCATATATCGTTGCTTCAACCTGCATTAATTTAATATTGTGTAGCAATCAGAAAATGATCAGAATTTTTTAAAGCAATGAGTCAGTTCGAGACCCTAAAAGKTATGTGGCATAYTWATTTTGCTYAGTGCTGAGTATAMCATCACATAATATGTATTTTGGTCTTGGAAAAATACTGCTGTTTGTTTGTTGGTTTGTTTTCTTTGTCAAAAATGCTGGAAATAATATGTCGTTTGAAGAAGTAGTGGGAAAAAATAAGAAAAAAGAAATCTTTGACAAYTATATTTTTTGTGATCAAGCTTAATATAGTGATAACGCATTGTCTATAAGAAATATCGATGCCTTTACATAAACAAATTAGAAAGAAAGGGATTATTAACAGTGATACAATATAAATGAKTAGCTTGATAATATCTGAATGTCTGAATTTCAAGACTGAAGCACAACTTTCAAATCTTATTTTAAGAATCTTTGGTCTAAAATCAAATTGTTATTGATAAAATTGTGAGGACTTTGAATGATTTGAGTTCCTTTGAAAGGGAAATATAAATAAGGGCAAAAGTACTAGCACTTAAGCAAACATATTTATGGAAAAGACAAAGGAAATAGTGTGGTACTTTTCTGKCAGCCATGCATATTTTATAAAGAGACAAATTACTTAATAAAAAAAGTACATCCCATAACAAAAATATTTATGATAAATTTGAATAAAAAAACAAAACATAGTCGGATTAAGGGGTTTCTAGGAATTCAACAAACATGTTCAAAAACCGTCTACATTATCAAAGATTTGTCTATTTGTTTTAAAAATTCCAGCAAGGTTATCAGAAAAAAGCTTAAGTTTTTTGCATCAAAAATAAATTTAAAAACATGGAATGTTGTATTAAGATATCAATCTTTCACTAGACACTACAAATAACWGCAAAACATCGCTTTATTTCATCACACAAAACGATGTCAAATGTAAACAATCTAGTGTGAAAGTGAAAGTGCTTTTCACTCCAATGCAATCTACAAACTTGCCCAAAAAAGCCATTTCCAAGTAAAATCTTTCTACGATTTCATCAAAGAGGTACTACTTATAGGTGAGTGGATTAACACGAATACTTAATAGCTGTAGGRAGAAAAAGAAACTGAGAGTGCCTTTCTTACCAAAGAGCTGATCAAATGAACGATGCGCTCAACACATGGTTCAACTTTGGCCCATYTAAATCGCACCGCAGCCGTTGGCACGTCATTTTCCGTSTCTTCTGGCTCTCTGTTAACTAAAAACAACACAAAACATTAAACAACCGCGGTAATTATAATCTAACTTCCTCAACAGAAGCCGTAAAATTGGATTTTCTCATACCGGAGAACGCAGAGCAACCAAGCAAATAATGGAACTGGAGGTCCTCGCCTTCAGCGACAAATTCTTTACACAAAGGACAATGCATTTAGAAAAGACAAAAGTCCAAAAATCTTTAAGGTTTCATCCTCCTAAAGACHTGTTTTTTCGGCAATTTGAGCAGCCCTTGTCGATAAAAGCGAACGTAATTTTTGTTTGCRTTGAGTTGACATGACACGGAAGTCCCAGGCTCTTATCAACAGCTAAAGTGAAAGTACAAGTACGTGTAGCTAAGCGACGGGGGGAGGGGAGGGGGCAAAATCAGAAAAAAAATGAGAAACAACAACTTTCGAYCTAATCTAATGGGACYTCAATGAACATGAGCAAAAAATTCACTAAAAGATAATGTATAAGAAAAATTTGAATGAAAGAAAAGASAGAATTTTTTYCYTTTYYT